TTGCTGCTCTCCCTGCTCATTCATGACAGGCTGCATGGATGGGCAGGGAGGTTTTTGCCCAGAACAGAACCATACAGCCAAACCAAACTTTATGCTACGTATCTATCATTTTGACGATAGTGGTCCTGACAGAAATGCTGTTAAAGGTTCAAAACAGATTTTAGTAGAAATGTGGTCATGCTAATTCAGCATTGTACTGGGTTAATAATTACGGTTAAATTACATTTTGGTTTAATTAAACAAGCGAGTTATGTAATCAGATTACTTTTTTCAAGTAACTAGTAAAGTAACGCTTCAAGTTACTTTTTCAAATAAGTAACGCCAGTTACTTTTTTTTCCCCATTTATTGATTGAAAGCTCTCCTGTGCCCATGTTGAGAGAAATTGGGAGTAAGATGTTACTTTAGTTCTAGAATAAATATGAACATGCATTAATTCATCTCACTCACTCACTCACTCAAAAAAAAAAAAAATCTGATTTAGTTTTCCTCAAAATTAATAAAAACAGTTAAGCGCAACTCAGAATATGACTCAAAGCTGCAATAATTAAATATGTTAAATAATACGAATATCCTTTATGCATTTAATCCCATTTTATTAACCAATTTGCTGCTGACCTTCAGTGATCCAGTTCAACCGTACTAATAAGAAAAAATTACACAAGATAAACTAACATTTCTTCTTTTTTTATTGCTTTTAAGAGTGTTGAACTTTCTTCTTCTTTGTTCTACTGTACAGACGTGAATTTACATTTCCTTCAGCCTGGGGCTTTTATGTTTGCCAAAAATATAACTTTTTATATTAAAAGCAAACAAGCAAGCCCAGCCCAGATTGAAAAAGTAACGTAAAAGTAACGTAACGCATTACTTTCAATAAAAAGTAACTAAGTAACGTAATTAGTTACTTTTTTAGGAAGTAACGCAATTTTGTAATGCATTACTTTTAAAAGTAACTTTCCCCAACACTGCCTAAGACCACCGCTGGAAAGAGAAATTGGTTGTGAATGCAGCTCATGTGTGTGAGAGAAAGTGAAAGAAGTGAGAATTTAAAACGAGCAATGACTTAAAGGGTTAAAAAGCCAAAAAATTGCGTCTATGAGATCAAGTCTCTTTCCAAAGCGAGATCTATTTTTGTCTTTGCTGTGGTCTGAAGGTACCTCAGAGGAGCTGTAAATTATTCAAAACGGCCACAACAGGCCCTTGTCAGTGACACTTAGAGTAACCTTTCTTTGTCAGTTAGCGGCAGGTTTTGTTGTTGTGCAGATTTGTTTTTGAATGAGAAACCCATATTAGAAGAATCACAATGTAAATGTCCGGTTTGAGGCACTGAAAGAGTCATCATGTCGCGTTCGATATGTGTGACTTTAATCATTGCAACGTGTCTGTTGCAAATCTGCTTTGTAAATTGCTGTAGACCTGATGGGGTGTATCTTTTGGAGTGGGAGACTTTTTACCATAGTAAAAACTGCTGAAGGATTTGCCACCACTTTGGACGAATTTTTTTGTTTTGTGTGTGTGTGTGTGTGTGTGTGTGTGTGTGTTTCCATGAAGAAGCAGATCTATCTAAATGAGGATGTGTGTGTGTGTGTGTGTGTGTGTGTACTGGGGGTCAAGGGGACTGTGTTTGGCTGTTATCTTCTATTTGTCTCCTATCCATGTTGCCTTCTGCTGAGTCCTAACCAATGCCTTTGTAGTTGTACATATTGTACAATCTTTGTTGTGAATTTTCTTTTTTATGTGTAGTTTTCATCAGCCTCACCATGCCAATAAAGGGAATTGTGTCTAATTTATTCTTTCCCTCTTTTTTCTTGTGCATCCAAACTGAATACAATTAGAAGTAGGGTTGCAAAGGGGTGGAACATGTCCGGACACTTTCCAAAAATCCCTGGAATATCCCTCCCCAAAAAAATCCTGGAAAGTAAAAAAAAAATTCTGGAATATTTCCGAAATTTACTGGACATTTTCCACCTTTTTGCAACCCTAATTAGAAGTAGTCGCTCAAATGAGTGTTTCAGCTACATTATGATTTCAATGAAGTCTCTTCTGCTCACCAATGCTGCATTTATGTGCAAAAAAATACAGTAAAAACTCTAATATTGTGAAATATTATTACAATTTAAAATATATGTTTTCTATTGTAATATATTGTAAACTGTAATTTATTCCTGTGATGCAAAGCTGAATTTTCCTCAGCGTCAATACTCAGAAATCATTCTAATATGCTGATTTGCTGCTCAAGAAACATTTCTGATTATTATCAATGTTGAAAACATTTGAGCTGCTTCATATTCATGCAGAAACCATGATAGTCTACCATTCCAATATCTGGGATATGTGAGTATCTGTGTGTTTTTAATAGAAACTAATGCTTTTATTCTGTAAATATGCATTGAATTGATCAAAAGTGACAGTAAAAAAACATGTACAATGTTACAAAAGTGTCTATTTCAGATAAACACTGTTCTTTTTAACTTTCTATTCATCAAAAGAAAAGAAAACATTTCCACAAAATATTAAGCGGCAAAAATTGTTTTTAACATTGATAATAATCAGAAATGTTTCTTGAGCAGCAAATCAGCATATTAGAATGATTTCTGAAGGATCATGTGGCACTGAAGACTGGAGGAATAATGCTGAAAATTCAGCTTTGATTACAGGAATAAATTACATTTTATAATATATTTAAATAGAAAACGGTTTTGTTAAATTGTAAAAACATTTCATAGTTTTTTACTGTATTTTGAATTAAATAAATGCAGGCCTAGTGAGCATAAGAAACTTCATTAAACATTTAAAAATCATGTCTCCAGAATTTTCTGCATTGTGGCGTAAAGCACGCATGCGAACATCATGCAAGCCCTGCTGTTTTGTGCGTATCATCACAGCACATTGTTTTGGATGACTCACTTGCAGACTCAGTTATTTTTGGCGGATGCTCGTGTTTTTGCCGGCTCCGCACGAACCTGGAAAATGAGTGATGATAATCCCGTGGAGCTTGTTTCATAATTCCCATAAACTCTTCTGACGGGGTTTGCATGCGTATTTGTGCCTGTAAAGGGGCCCCAAGAGTTTGAAGCCACATCTGTCCAGCTGAAATGTAATACTGTATCATTACTATTCAGCCTGTGAAACGGTAGAGGAGGTAAATAACCTCTTCTCTCCTGCGAGAGGTGTGGCAGGAGTGGACATTACATTTTAAAAGAAGAGGATCCAGTTGTGGATATTATTTATTTATTTATCTTTTTCATTAATGCTTGGGTTCAGCCTCGGAGAAAAGAGGCACTTCTTTCATTTTGCCGTCACAATCGCGGAGGCAGGAGGTCTCTCGGCGTCTGCCCTTTTCCGGACAATGTAGCTGGAAGCTCAAGAGCCTCACTTCTGTCGTTTTGTGTGATGCAGGTACTTACTCCGGCAATCTGTGCTTCTTTTTCATTTCACATGCACAGCTATTGGTGAAAATGCCCATGTCTGCAGTATTTGAGCATCTATTTCTACCTGCGATCCTATATATACATATATATGACTGTACTTGAAATATGGTGTATTTAATTATACACTAACAGTCAAATGTCTGACAAATTCAGATTCACCTGAAAAGACTCAAATGTCTTGCATTGCAGTATAAAAAAGATGTGTAATTATATTTAATGATATATACAACTATATATACACATTCTAATGATTTGCTGTTCAAGAAATATTTATTACGGTATTATCAATGTTGAAAAATTATTATTTTGTGGATTCTTTGACTAGAAAATCAGTTTTATTTTAGTATTATGTATGTGTTTTTATAGTTTGTTTATTTTTTTATTAAAATTATGAATTAGCTTTTATTTTCTTATTTTTGTAAGTTTTAGTAAGTTTATGTGCTTTTGTCATTTTTATAGTGTATATTTCTATATAGTTTATATTTCATAACTTTATTTTTATTTCAGTTTTAGTCTGATAATTGTAGTACTTCAGTACTTTAGTGATTTTAGTGCTTCGGCTTATTTTATTTCAGACAGTCCCCAAGGCAAGTTTTTCATTAATATGAAAACCAGTATGAAAAATATTTAATAATATAGGAATATTTTAACAACTTATATATACAAATATTGTGACATGATTCTTCAGAAATCATTCTATTGATAAACATTTCTTATTATGATCAATGTTGGATTTTGTGGATTCTTTGATGACTAGAAGGTCAGTTTTATTTTAGTATTATTTATATGCTTTTATTTGATTTGATTGATTATTTATTCATATTTTGAATTTTATTGATAAGTTTTAGTCATTTTATATTTAATATTTCTATATATTTTATATTTTGTAAAATTGTTCTTTTTATATATTGTCAACTTAATTTTAATTTCAGTTTTAGTAATTTTAGTACTTTGGGTTATTTTATTTCAGTTCGTTTCCGAGGCATATTTTCCAGATTTTTATTTTATTATATTGTATTACATTTTATTTTTTTATGTTATTTTATTTTAGCTTAATTCAAATTATTGAAATTTATTTAATAACAACACTGTAGACATTTCAAAAGAACAGTAGTTATTTTACATTATTTAACTTATTATTATTATTATTATTATTTAATTGTTATATATATTTTAAAAATATTTTTTACTGACCCCAACCTTTCTGACTTCTCTTGTAGTGTATGTTGCTTGAAAATACATGTTATCCTTTCAGCTGCATTGAAAACAAACAATGGCAGCAGGAGTAAGGCAACATGAACTGAATCCACCGTGAGATTTATTAGGATGGAGTTCAGAAGCTGTTATTGATGATGATGAAATAACATCAAAGGATCAGTGTGATATTTTGAGGTGTCATCGACACCGATCCCAGCCTCATGCTCCATCTTCTTCTCTCTGGTTATTTTTTAGAGAGCTTTATAAGTGCCTCACAATTCCATTGTCTGAAGGTCTATCAGATTTACTTTCTCATGTAGGACAACAGCTGCAAGTCCCCAGACGTTCAGCCAATCGCCACCTTTAGAAACGAGTGTATGAGGAACATGTCGGATGTTTACTCAGTATTAACTTAGAAAACTTTTAAATATCACTGAGGGTATTGATGTTATTCAGTCTAATGCATAAGATATAAACCACAGTAAGGTGCGCAAGGGACCATATTTATGTCAACGTTTTATAAGGGTTTGATACGGAGCGCAAAAACATTAAAGTTGTTTACGACATTTGAAGTTAATGCTGGCAAAGTTTTCAAGTAATAAAAAGTGGTTGTGTCTGGATGTGAGATTCACATTTGCTGCTATCAAGGTTAACGGTGATTTTAACATTTTAGAAATGTCTCCTGATTTGCATAATTAATTTAGTTAACCTGGTGCTAAACCCAGACAGTGCAATTCATTTTTAATGAAATGTTCTTCGATACAGTGTTGTTATTGTTAACTATTAAAAAAAATGTTCATTGATATAAATTAAGCTGAAATGAAATATAAAAATTTGACAAAAACCTAGAAATTAAAATAAAACAATAAATAAGACAAAATACGTAAAATAGGTAATAATTTGAAGTATTAGCAGAAATTACTAAAACTAAAACTGAAAAAAATATGCATATATAAAAATTTTATAAAAACGTACACTACGATTAGAAATGAAAACAAACTAAAAATAAAATAAAAACAAAATATTAAAATAAAAGCTGATTCGAAATATGAAAATATAGAATACAATAGTATACAACTAAAATTGCTAAAACTAAAATAAATATAGTTTAAAGCGAAATCGAAATAAATACAAATGACAAAAGCTTGACTAAAATGTAAAGTAAAATTAAATTAAATTAAAAACCTAAAATATAAAAAAGCTAATTCAAAATGTTAAAATATACTATAATAGTATACTATAGTATGTACTATAAAAGTCATAAAATGAAAAGATAAACAAAAATATTACAAATAATAAAATGTACAAAAGCTTGACTAAAATGTAAAGTAAAATTTAATTTAATTAAAACACTAAAATATAAAAAAGCTCATTCAAAATGTTTAAATATACTATAATAGTATACAATAGTACAGTATGTACTATAAAAGTCCTAAAATAAAAAGATAAACAAAAATATTACAAAAAAGCTTGACTAAAACGTAAACTAAAATTGCAGTATATAAAAATAAAACTTAAAAATAAAAGATCATTTAAAACATGCTATAAAGAAAAAAAACATGCTAAATAATAATAAAAAAAAAACTATAATAGTATTCAAATAAAATACAACAATAACACTGCTTTGACAAAAATGTGCAATGTTTGGTTTAAGTCCACATCAAATATGTTACTAAGTGTGTTAAATAAGCCAATAAAGCGATACGCAAAACCAAACAATTAGTCAAGTAATGAGCAAAAAGCTGAGTGTGAGATTTCTGCTGCTTTCTGCCAGATGCTCAACAAAAGGCCGTCCTCCGTCTCCATCCACACGCTGCCATCGCACGCTTTAAAGAGTAATGAGCGACAGAAGGGACGGTATTCTTTTTCTCCAAAACTATCAACTTTGGGGGCCAAACGTAAACTTCGCTTGATAATTAATGACAACAGACAAATGGCGGCTGATTGAGCAACTTGTCTTTATTGTCAATCACCATCTGCTCCGCAGTGCCGACGCAACACAGCGCTAATTACCTCGAGTGCGCTTAAGATGCCTTTGTTAATTAAAAGTGAAAATAAAAAGGGTTTTAGGGACAGGTTTGAAGAGCGAGCGACAAGAGTGAAGCGCTGTGGACTGCGGCGGGACACATGCTTGGTTATAGGGCTTCACAATTTGGCCCAAAAATGTATGATTATATATCAATATGACCATAACATAAGAATAATAAACAATAATAACAAAAATGTTATGAGTATTGTTATATAACAATATTTTAGTAAATAAAAATAAAAAAACGAAATAAAAGCAAAATAAGAAATATTTATTTTGTAATATTTCATTGTAAATTAAAAAAAAAGTATCTAATAAAATAATCATTTTATTTTACTAATGTGAAATTACTAATATTTATGGCTGACTTAATTCCTTGATTTTCAGACTTTTATTTTTATGGAAAACTGCAGGGAGCCCTTAAATATTGACTTTTGTTGATAATAATTTATCATTAAGTGTATGGAAAGATGGACAATGTAGGGCGGCACGATTTGGAGAAATATTAAGATTGTGATTTTGAAAAGAAAATCCAGGTTTGCTGTGCTTGTTTGTTAGATCAAACCAAAATTATGTCATTATATATAGTACCATTATGACATTACTATTGTAATATTTCACAGTGAAATAAAAAGTAGAGTAAGTCAAACATAATAATAATAATAATAATAATAATAAAACTGTAAAATTACAACACTAATATTTATGAATGTATTGTCGTATTTCATTTTAAAATAAGAAATTAGTATTTAAGAAAAGTAATATATTAATAATAATACATTTATGTGACATTACAATGGTAAAATTAGAGTAGAATAAATTAAATATAATAATAATAATAATAAAAATAATAATAATAATACATTACAACTCTAAATTACAATACTAATATTTATGTCAGTCTATTGTCATATTTCATTTGAAAATAAAAAAATAGTATTAAAGAAAATAATTTAGCAATAATTTTATTTGAAATTACAACAGTGTAATTTCAACACTAATAGTTACACTGTAAAAAACATTCTGTAAAATTTACGGTAAAAAAACGGCAGCTGTGGTGTGAATTTTACCGTAAAAAATACGGTAGCAACCTTTTAGGTTTTACGGTTTTAACTTAAATTTACAGTTAAATACCGTAATTTCATTAACTGATATAATGTTAATA